AATTTTAAATAAACAATTAAGGTATAATAAAAAAAAAAAAAAGAAAAAAAAAACAATATCAAACAACAAACACTTGTATAACAGTTTCCGGATTAGATAGATCACTCAATTTAATAGAAAGAAATATAAGAAAAATTATAAAAGATACAAATAAAAATAAAATATTAAACAATAATAATATTATCATTATTATTATTTCAAAAATAATAAAAAATAGAAATAGATAAAGATTATTTATAAAATAGAAATAGATAAAGATTATTTATAGAATAGAAAATATATTTAATTTTTTTATTTTTATAAAAATATAATATAATAATAAAAAGAAAAATCTAAAATATAAGAATTGCTATTATGGTTTTGAATTTGATTATTTTTCTATCCTATAAGTTTTACTTTATATTTAATTTATATTTTTATAGTTTATTTAATAGTTTATATATATTTTTTATTTTATTAAAATTTTTATTATATTTATATTAATAAAATTAATAAATATAATTTTTATAATTTTAGTGAGATATTGTTTAAAACCTATTCTTTATTTTTAAATAGTTTATTTTATTTCTCTTATTGTCTATTATCAATTTTATTTTTTTAAATATTGATCATATTAATTTGTAATATTAACATAACTCTATATTAATTTTCTTCTATTTTTCCTTTATTAAACTTGTAAAATTACTTTGCAAAATTATTTTTTTTATAGATTTCAAATTTAATTTTTTTTAATATTTTTTTAATAAGGCTCACAGGTTCATAATTGAATTGAAATCTGAAGTTAAAGATAGTCTTAAATATAAGTGAATATTATTTTTATACTAAATTAATTATAAGTTTTGTATAATACTTAGGATTATTGTTCTATTGCAATGCTTATTTATAATCTAGGATTCTATTAGTTTGCTCAAATAAGTTTTGAATAAGTATCTTATGATAGAGTTTGTTATTTATAGTTTTTATTAAAGTATAAAAGTTGATGATTTTTTTGCTATAAAACAAAGTCTACATATGAATTTTAAACAGATATTTTGCAATCCATTGAAATTACAATAGCTTTTCAACTTTATAATAAACTTATATTATATTATAAAATTTCTGAAGGATGGTTTATTAAAAAAAATCATTCCATTCTATTATTTATTTTTGTATTTTTATATCTAAATGAGTCAATATTCCATAATTGTGTCATTAAAAAGAAAAGCTTTATAAAAAATACATATCTTATATTAAAGTTTTTGAAGATTATTATGAATTACTTATAACAAAATATTAAAACTTTAGTAAGTATTATTAAGTTTTTTAGCTAGTTTTTTGCTTGTTATGATTCTATTTTTTATAGTGATTTTGTTAAGATATTTTATTAATACAAGGTTGAAAAAAATTAAAAATAATTAAGACACACTTATCTTGTCTCAATTTTTCAGTACTAGCAAACTGAATAATCTGTTTATAAAACATTTTACTGAAAAATCTGGTGAGTATTTTGAATTTTCTAACTTTTTTATATCCATAATTCAAAACTTTTTAATGAGAAAATAACATTATGCAAGCAAAGTTATATATTACACTAGTGATATTAAAATTTTTTTTTTCTATTCTAAAAGATTTAAAGAACATATTTTTAAAGAAATTTAATATAAATATGACAAAAAAAAAAAAAGATTTAATGGCATAATTTCTAAAAAAAAAATAAAATCGTTATTATTTACTATCACTATTGTATATATAAATAATACAATTATTGTTTTATTATAATTTAAATATTTTAAATTTAGATTTCTACAAAATTTATTTGAATACTTATAATTTGAGAAAATTTTAATTGATAAAATTTTTTGAATTGTTGATGTCACATAAATTGGATTAAACATTATAAATACAATTGTATAAATTTTTTATAGAAAATTTTTTTGTTATCAAAATTTGATTATTTTATTAATTGGTTTTAAAATAATAATATTATTAAACATTTTTAAAGTATTTGACTGATTTATTAAAAAATTATAATTGATATTTATTTATGCAAAACATGTATACTATCTATAAATTAAATTTTAAAGTATTATATGAAAATTAATATATTTTTTGATTAATAAATCAAAATGAAAAAAATCTATAGAACAAAGATTATATATAGTATTTCAATTTTTAAATATATCATCAAGTGATAAATTTTTAGCAGTATTGAATAAAATAAATTGCTATTATAGAACAAACTAATGATGATTTTGAGATAGCCATCCGACATCTTTATTCTTGTTAAGGTTCCTTGCTCGTTTTTATTTAGCGATTGCTGACTAATCTTAAAATAGTTGGTTCTTCAAGTGACTTTCATGTATGAAGTTCTATATAAAATGGAAAGCTCATTATGGCATCAATAAAGCCGTTGCGTTCTTACTCTATCATTATGACACAAACAGGATAGAAATATTGATCTTGTGATAAATAAACTTACTTCGAAAGCTTATATTAGTAATCCTCGAGTCCTCTTTAATTTCGACAATTTCTAATGTGAATTATTACGAACGTATGTACCTATGTTATGTTAATGAGTGTAATAAATTCGACTTGGATCTATAAAATGGTAATGCACGTCGTGATGAATGAGGAAAATTTGCGTGATATCAAAGAGCAAGGGAGTAATGCGCCTGATACGAGTTTTTCATAAGTCCCTTTCGGTTATACGTATCAGGAGTATCATCTTAGATATACGTAGTTTCGGAAATATCCTCAAATATTGAAAAGTTGAATTCAGGGGACATAAAAATGCCTGCTCAAGATAATTCCAAAGAAGAACCAGGTGATTCTCTTTTCTTTTATTTTTTTTTTTGCATTAAGAAATTTTTTTTTTTTTTTTTTTTTTTTTTTTTTTTTTTTCAAAGAATTTGAGCCTCACTCTGACATGGATTCTGAAGGTTTATCAAAAGGAGAAGCGCACGATCACGATCGACAACTTTTTAGCCACGATCAAAAATGCAATTTAGGTAAAGAAAACAACAAGTATTCTACGTAATTTCATTTTTATACATTCTGCCTGCCATAAAACAAACTTGAAAGGACATGATCAATTTACGGGAGGAAGAGATAATACTCAAATAATGTTTTCATTCACACTATATTGATGATGGAAAAACTGCTATAGGTTCGAAATTGGTTGATCAATTACCGAGGGAAAATTTTAATATCTTAAATGACCTGCAATCAACACCTTCATTTCGAATTCCTAGTGAAAACGGAGAAAATATATCGCATGGACAATCATTGGATGATCTTGGTATCACTAATTATGTTGGAGCAAAAAGTTTCGATGATTCCATTGATGTTTTTCGAGCAGGAAACCTTGGAACGTTTAATTTTGTTCAGACGGGAAATATCGATATGACCGACGTAGTCGAACTTACCGGGGAGGATAAAATAGAAGGATTGGTTGCTATGAAAGAAATTAAAAGCAACCGAGATTTTGATCCATTCCCGAACTCTAATCTCTCACTTCAAAGTGACGTTGCGGCGATGAAACTGTCTTACCTGACCGAGGCATTGAAAAGATGTGGAGAAATCAAGCGCAAAACTGAGGAGCTCTTGCACAATAGGGAAGGAAGAGATGCCTTTGAGGTATTATTTCTCTTAATAGTGATTCACATCTTAATATTTGTAACTGACAATCGCCTTCCGGTTTAGATGAAACTAGATTTAAAGACTAAAGTTTTAATAAATAAAGCATTTGTTGAACTGAGACGGGCAAATCGAGAGGCAAGTTTAGGAAGAAGGGATGAAAAAAATTTTAGAACGAAGGCTAAGGACGCTTTTGATGAGGCCCAGTATAGATTATTGGAAGTCAAATACAAAGAGGCCTTGTTGGATCACGATTTAAAGATCGCAAAATTTAAGGAGTAAGGAGTTTTTTTAACCATCGTTTCTCTCTCTTTTAGTATGCCTTCGTTTTCTAAGCTCAAATTATTTAGGTCGGAGTATCAGAAAATCTCATTAATATCAGTTGAAGAATTTTTTGTTACGGCTCCGAATGAGTTCACAGACTCATTAAAATCCCAGAATCTTGTCAGTTCTGGAGATTGTGCTTCCAATTCAGAACGACAGAGATATGAGCACGAACTCTTATTACAGCGATTAAAATATGAGAAGAGTGAAAGGGAAATGTGAGTATCTTGATATTATTGTAATAGGTTGCTTTTTAAACTACGTTTAAACATAAACCGATATCAGACTTGAGGACGAGAAGATTCGAAAATTGAGTCGTAAACGCGACCTGGAATGCATAATCGAGAAAAAATTGAGTTCGGCCTACTTGTTGGACGTTATTTTGAAAGAATACATCAAGGTATCGATTGTCACCACCATAAAGTTAAATGTTGTGAATTGTGTTATAATTATTGCTTACATTAAAAATGCTTGCAAAGAAAATCGATCAATGCAAATCTTTAAAGGAAGTGCTAAGGAATTGGGGATCATTGCCTCTTTCAGTTGCCGCATCCGATAATAATGATATCGACAGCGCGCGCTTGGATTGTAGGGATTTGTTCAATGCAAAGGCTTGCGGCATGGACTGCACAGTTTCCGATAAGGAAGAGGGAGAGCTAATTTGATAGCGACAAAGTTATAAATTGCGCAGAATTTTTTTCGCAAAATAGTCCTGAATTGACATTTCAATAACTTTGTTCTAAACTCTCCAACCATTTTCTGTCATCACCAGTCAATTGATTCAGTTCTGTGTGATCGCATTGACTTGCGAAAATATCACCGCACGATTCACGTTGTTTACTTTAAAAAATCTATTTTTTTTTTCTTAAACAGTTTAATATTTTCAAAAAGATGCAAACCATTTATTAACGCTGACAAAAGTTCCAAAAAAAATATTATTCAAAGAAACACTCGGTTTTGTTTTATTTACAGTAATTCTATCATTGCACGTATGAAGATCTGAAATGCTGCATACGTATAGGCTTAATTCAACTTTTCTAGAGCATTAAAATAAAATTTAAGAGTCGCGACAATCCTAATTACGTATTATACGTTACGATTTCCGTTTCGATCTTCATGATCATTAGCAGCAGCCAACCGATTTACTCCTGAGCACGTGGCAATCCCTATTAAAACGAATACATATACGTACGTGAGTGCAGTTAGGCATGGAATACCTTCTATTTTTGATACGATTTTTTTACATTTTACTTATCTCGATCGTATTTTCTGGTTTAATCTTTGAATCCGTTCATGTTACCATATTTCCATATGGCAAATTAAATACGACAAGCCAGTTTAACGCCAAAAATCCTTTTGAGAAACTTATAAGAAGTCTAAATGTTCCGAAATATTGGTTTTATCAATTTTATGTGGTTGGAGTAATTTGGGTTACATTCATCATTCTCGATGTCATTATCCTTCGCAGTGGATATTTCTCTTGGTTTGTCAAACTGATTGATGGAATTCATATAACGTATCCTGATTCATATACCAAGCAACCGGCCGAACAATGTATCGTTGGTCTATTCATGCTTTTATTTCAGGTGACACGCCGAGCGTATGAGTGTATTTTCATCGAAAGACCCTCTCTTCAGGCGAGGATGCACATCGGGCATTATATTCTTGGCCTTGCATTTTATATTGCAACATGTCTTACAATTTTCATTGAAGGAATTGGAAATTTGGATATTCCCGGAAACGGTTCGTTATGTTTCTGAATTTTTGGTGTTAGATCTTGTTTAATAGTTCAAATAAATGCATAAGTTTTTATCTTTGAAATCACAGATGAGCGTTCTTTTGAATTCCCTCTTTTTTCAAACTTTCTTTCTTGGAATGTTTTGTTCTCGGTGTCACTTTTCCTTTATGCTTCATATCATCAACACGTGGTTCATAGAATTCTTGCTTCTCTTCGTCCCAAATCATACCACTCCTCTCCATCTACGCCAATTTATCTCATTCCTAAGGGAGATTGGTTCGATTATGTATCTTCAGCCCATTATTTTGCAGAAATTTTGATTTACATTAGCTTCGTCGTGCTCAACAAAGGTCAGATATTTACAAGTTATCTCGTTGTTTTTTGGGTTGCTCTCAGTCTTGGGATTGTAGCTAGAGACTCTGATTCGTGGGGTAAAGAAAGGTTTGGCGATAAATGGCCCTTGAATAGGTGGAAAATATTTCCAGGCATTTATTAGGAATGATTCTTACTTGGGCATGTATCTTGTCAAGATACAGTATTTTGATAATGTATTTAATATTAGTATTAGATTATGATATAATAATTGCGTGGTTGTTATCGTCCTAAATAGAATCTACTTGACGAGTAAAAATAGGCATAGTTTATTATAATTGAGAGTTCAATCTAGTCGTTTCAGTAATAATTAAACTTAAAACGAATATACACACCTCGTACACGTGAAGGTGAGCTAGATTCTATAAAACAAGCCATAAAGTTTTCACAGTGAAATGGCAAGCAATATATGCAACCGAGTGTTATACGAAATCTATTCAATTACTTATCAATAAATCTAATCAAAGTACTGTATATAAATTCTTGTGCAGTAGGTGTATAATTGGTTCCACTAATATGCAACTTCTTAAAAAAACTAAAAAATTATTGTACTTTTTTTTATTAGGCTAAAAGGAATAATCGTTATATTCTTTCTTTCTTTTGATTCTTTTGAAGGGGATTTTTTTTATCAATTTCTTGTATCTTTTTATTTATTTATTCATTTATTTTTATAAAAAAAATTTTTTTATTACAGTAATTTATTTGTTTTATTGATTGAATCTAATCTTTGGAATTGAATAGATTGATCAAGAATTAATGAACTTCTATGCAATATCTAAGATGGTGATATTTGAAAAACTTTTAAAGATGAAAACTCACTCAGAATTATTTTTTAGCAAAGAGATGGTTGATTTGCATTTGAGATTGGTACTAAATATTGACTAGTTTCAACCATTCAATGATAAAGTAGTATTATATATGTGACTATCACAAATTTGCTACATGAAATATGATTTAAACATAAAAATATTTTGTTTCCTGGCATATTACCAGGTTTTAATGAACCAAATTTATACCAAATAAACCATTACCTTTCTCCAATTGTTGATGAGTTGATGTAACTATGACAAGGAATAAAGCTTGATTCAACTGCTAAAAATGAAGAGAAAAAAATAATTTGGGTGACCTTAATTTTAATTTCATGTGATATTCCTGTAGACAAAAAGTGTGTAGACATTTTGTGGCATTAGTGTTATATTATTGTTGCAAAAAAAATATTAATTATAAATAATCTATAATTTTGATAACATAAAGGATATAAACTAATAGTTTATACTGAGAGATTTAATAACACATAAATATGATTCTATCAAATGGAGGTGTTGTAACTCTAATGTAATATGAAAATGTTTTATTAGTAAGAATTATGTCAAATAGTTCAAATTTCTTCATCTACTTTATTTTGATTCAATTTAATATTTAGTTATCAATCCCATGCACTATCTTTTCTTAAATATTGTTAAATAGCTTATTAAACAAATATGAATCAAAAAAGGAATACCAACAAATAATGCATTGAATTAAATACAATTAATGATGAAAAATTTTCAAGTACTATTAGATATTGACTAAATTCCAAGAAAAGTAAATAGTGGCAAAGAATTTTTAAACTTTATTACCAATTAATGTAAAAATTTTTTCACAATATATGTAACTATTATTCTATAAAAATATTTTCCAGATATGGATCACCAAGTTCTAATAAATTTTGTTAAGATTTGTCAAATCTTAGTATATCAAATTTTAAGATGAAATTTGTTAAATAAGACTTATGAAAGATTAGTTGCAATGATTAAACATATAGAATGAAAATATAAGAAAGAAAAATTATTCTAAATCTTCAATATTTCATTATATTTATATGAATATGTATATGATTATAAGTCATTATATATATTTAGGTACTTTTTATTTGAAAGGATAAATGGTATATTTGGTAGGTTTTTAAACAAATTTAATATTTGAAAATAGGATTCTAATGAGTTTTTAATTTAGATTTATTGCTTAATAGTTACTGAAATATTAAACCCAAATTAATATGAGAATTGATGAATAATTATCAAATTATTAATCTAACTATATTCTATTCTAATAATCAGAGGCTTAAAATTTTAAATAATAACCAAATTTCAGTTCAATTTCTGAACTAGATTAGTTTTCAGCTGATGAGTTATATCAATTTTTAAACAATATACTGTATATAATATTTATGAAACAATAATCAATAAATCTGAATATTTTTCAGATGAACTTTTGCATCTGAAAAAATCAAATTCAAAGGTATCTACTGAAATATTAGATTTATTAATTAAATACTATAAGGCATCTTATAAAACTATAGACTTTCAAAAGCCATTTATAAAAAATAATGAAAATTTGATAATTATTCAGAATAGATCAGATCAATATGATAGATGCAAAATTGAAAGTAAAATATTCAATTTTATTATATCTTCATAAAAATATTAAAAGCTTATTTATATTAAATACATTTATAAATTATGATAAAATATCAATTTATATCTGAAAAAAGTTCAATTCTTTTTTACAAATTCAGTAAACTTTTAAATAATATTAATGAACATCAATTGGCCTTTATTCAGTAATCCAAACTAGTTAATTTAGCAGAAAATAGATTTTATTTCAAATCTGAAAATGACACAAGTATTGAATTGTGAAGTATCAAATTTTATCCAGTTAAATATGAATATATAATCCCTATTTATAATATTTTTGGCTAATTTATTCATTTAGATATAGAATCTTAAATTGGTAAAACCACTATAAATATTTGCTATAATTTCTTTAAATTGTAAATTTAATATATAATTAAAAATTTAACAAATATGCAAATTAGAACAAAATTGGAATTTTGATGAATATCTAATGATTTTTTGAGAAAAATTTTAATAAAATATATAGTAAAAATGGTACAAATTATATAGCAAATAATGTTAAATTATATAGTAGAAATTGATTGATAATTTATTTATATTAAATTATATAGTAAAAAGATTAATGATGAAAAAAAAAAAACTCTTTACGCTTATTCATATTTTTTTAAAAAATTTCTTTTTTTGATAATTTTCTTGAAAACTTACAAAAACTTTTCTATACAAGAACAAGTCTCAGAGAACACAACTATGTAACAAAATCTACTTTACAGTAACAAGAAAAGAGTTTTGCTTAGCTTGAAAGACAGATATTCCTAGATCATTTTTGCTTTTAGGAAGGAGAAAAAGCAAAAATAAGCTGATTCACAGTAGGCTTCTTGAGACCTAACCTCAACTCCACAAAGCTCTTAGCCAGGTCAGTGCAGGTTAACACCTTTTTAGGCACTAAGAGAAGTTTCAGAAGCAATAGATTACACTAATAAATCAACACAACCTCAAAGCTAACTGAAACCCAGGAGGACGTCCAAATCTTTTTGGTCAAAAGCTAAAAGATCATAATAACATAACAAACTCAGATCAATTAATTCACATCACATGAACATAAACACGTTAACTTTTTATCTAGTTAATATGTATCAAAGCAAACTAATCAACCTTAACA